CGGTCTATCACAGAAACAGGTGGGGAAAAAAAAGTTGCCTACGCCCTAACACTTGTTTGCAAACAAACAAAAAAAAGCAAGAACTAAAACAAGACAAACAAACGCCAATTGGGTTGCCCACCAGTCCGAGTGAGTTGGGCAAAAACTTTCCCCCTCCCCGCTTCTTTTTGTTTTTGGGGTTTTCCTTCTCTACTCGTCTTGGCGCTTGCCTGCCCGCCCCCTTAATAGAAACAAATACAACTATAGACAAATATAAATATGTGAGTGTGATTGCGTGCGTGTGTCTGCTTGAAGGTGTTGTGGAACTCTGCACCACAGCAAACAACTTGCAATGGAAGCAAATGAAGGACCCCCCCCCAGCAAAAAAAAAAGAAAAGAAAAGAAAAGAAAGAGAAGTACACAAGTAACACATCACACAACACAAATTGGGTGTTCTTTTTCGCTTCTTGCTATCGTGTTTTTCTGCATTCAAAGCGCTGCGTCAATGGCAGAGGCCTGCCCGGGAAAAAGCAGGGCCCCACCAGCAAGTGAAAGTGACGAACACCGTGCCACCCACACACATGTAGAGGAGACAACAACAACAGGAACGGAAAGCTTTAAAAAGCAAAAAGCCAAAAAAAAAAGAAAATGCTATCCTTTTTTTTTTCCCCCACCCCTCTTTACCTCTTCGGTTCGTCATTATCCAGACTCTTTCACTCGGGCACTGCCTATTTGGATTCCTTGCAAGGTGGCAGTGGCGCAAGACCCAGCTCCGCGCGAAGCACAATATACTCGCGACGCAGCAGCGCTAGAATCATCAAAAACTGCTCCGTCTCCTCCTGCGTATTCCACGACGGGATCACCTTGGGGACCAACGGAAACCTCAAAGCAGCGGCACCTGCATCCTTGTCCACTGGACCCCCGCGCCTTGATTGGATGGGGTGGCTCGAGTGTGGTGTGTGCATCTTTCCCCCAATCGCGGCGGGGACATCCGAAGGCATCTGCCGCGCCCGCCGCACCGTGGTGACGGAGAAGGGTGAATCCGACACGGGCAACGGATACTCACCGCCGCCCCGCGTCGTCTCCGGCGTGCCGTCCAGAGCCACACGCCTAGTGGCGGGAGGCTGGATCGGTTCAATGCTCACATCGTCCAAGTAGGCGTCCAGTAGCTCATAGGCAGCTCCTGGAAGCCGCATCCCGGAGGCGAGGAAGTCCACCGTGTTCTGCACAAGGGCAGCCCGGATCGGGTCAAGCGGCGAAAGCGCCACCTCGGCATCTTCGAGCACAGAGAGGTAAAGTGCCTTTACGTCATCGACGCTGGTCAAGACGGGATACAGCGTGAGAGAAACTTGCTGTGGCGCCGCATTTTTTGTTTCAGGTGCCGTCTGCGGCAACTTTGTCGTCATTGGAGAGGAATATGGTGAAGTAGTCTTCTTGCGCGTTGACCGCCGCGTGTTTCGCATCGCAGGGACAGGCTTTCGCGCAGTCGTGGAATGGGAGTCGTGCGGGGTTGCCGCCACAACTCCGGCGCCGCGCGTGGAGCGCTCGGATGCGAGGGCAAGGTGGCGCAGCTTGTCGGTGCTGCCGTCACGCAGGAGGGCAGCCATAAGACGCGTCATGACAAAACCACGCGTCGGTGGAGCCTCCTCCACGCTGCCTTCCAGCAACGACTCCGCTATGAGGACGCTGGGGTCACCAAAAAGTCCAAGCCCCTGAATCCCGACGTCTACCGGGGTTGAAGTGAAAGCAAGCAACTTCGACGGAAGAGGACCCAGGGTAGAGTTGAGCGAGGCCATCTCAGAGCCGCTGTCGGCAAACGTGCGTGCAGCCCGGGAGTACACATTTCCAGGCGCAATCCACTCGGAATCCTCCTCCCGCTTCTCGCTCACTGTGTCGTTGAGAATGGCAAACTCGTTCTCCTTTTCAGGCAACGGGTTGTTTGCCTCCTTGTTTGTCGTCCCCCCCGTTGCCTGTGCTGTGGCGCCGCCTACTGAGCCGCTTTTTCGTAGCGAACGCTTAGATCCCCCGCGGCGCAGTGTTGCCAACTGCGCCCGCGACAGTGGGGGGTTTTTCAAAGGCACACTTTGGTTGGACGCTGAGGGCAAGGAAGTGGACAGAATTGCATAAAATCGGTCCATAAGGTCTTCTTCCCAGAGGAGCCGGTACATGTCACAGAGCCACTTGCGGTAGAACATTGAGACACGCGGGTCCACAAACTGTACCGCGGGAAGAAGCAACTCCACTGTGGTGCTGATCACGCGGAAAACAAGAAGCGTCACCTCCTCCCGTATCTGTTGCTGCATGGCCCGTGCATTGACGATATACTCCTGCAGTTGCTTAATCATAATCTCCAACTCCACCCCAAGCCGACGAGGAATTGTTGGTGCAGTTGCATGACCTTGCGGTTGGGGCTGTGAGGCGGCAGTGGCGGAGTCCAGAGAAGAGGCTTTTGGTGTTGCTTGATCTGTCTCCCCAACGGGTAAACAGCTACTCGCGGAGGTGCCGACGGCGTCGCCTGACACCCGCTGAAGAGATCGAATAAGCAAGTAAAGCACGACATCGGTGGGGCGCACGCCCCCACTGGCGTCTGTCATGATAGGCAACGTGGTGGCGGTATGCAAGGGCTCCATGGTGTTCTCACCAAAGACGCAGAAGCCAGTAGCACACATCTGCGATCCTTTTGCGCGTTGACCGCCGCCTTGCGTACGGCGCGCCAGATCAAGCGCGGCGGTCAAGGCACAGTGGCCGCCAACGATGCTCCCATCAGCCGTCTCCACCAAACCCTCGGCCAGTTTTCTCAAGTCCTCCGCGTAGTTACGAAGGGAGGGGAATAACGACGAGAGTAAACTGAGCGCAGCAGTGGATGGCAGGGTAATGAAGCGTCCAAGCACGTCCCTCTGTTGCGCCGGTCCGCCGCAGCGGGGTTCATTCGCGGCATCCATCACGGCACTGTTTTGCTCGGCCTCTTCTACACTTGCAAAAGAGCTGTTCAGTGAGGAAACGGAGGAGGGACCGCCAAACAGGAGCCCCTCTACCAACATATTTAAAAAAACCGCAGTTTGGTTCATCAAACGGCCTCCTGACGAAGCACTCAATGACGCAGAAGCCGTTCCTGCTTCGTCCAACTTAGCTCCATCAGACTCTCGTGAAAAGTTGTCAGCATCTTCCGCATTTGGCATCACGCGTTTTGGCATCGCGGCGTCCGCAGAGACGAAATAACTTGAGCCGGCATCCCTGTTATTGCCACTTGTACGGGTTGCTTTCGCGGACGGTTGAGGTGTGGAATCCCACTGAGTGTCGCTAACCGGCGGGGCGGCTTCGTTCGTGTTGTCGCCTTCCGGACAAAGCAGTTTCATCAGCGCAGCGACGTCACCTTTTGTGATGCGACCGGCCAAGAACCCGCGGAACTCCTCACGCCACCAAAGGCCCTGCCTGGCGCTGAGCTTCCGCGACAAAGCCATTCCAACTGACGCCAGTGGCTGGAGAGCGTGGGGCAAAGGACTTGCGGAGCTCGACGTCTGATTCGCGGCGGTCTCGTTGCCGCTTGCACTACCCGCAGCTGAGACTGCCACGGGGCACGCTGGCTGCAACGGATGGCCCACGTCACCCTGAAAAAGCTGCTGCAGCTCCGATGCGGAGCGGTTGAGCGCGCACGCCTCCGAGGAATCGGCCCGCTGAGCCTTCACGTCGCGCGCAGCAGCTGCAGCTGCCGAGGGATGTGATGTGGTGCTCTGCCCCTCCTTCGATCTCCCGGCGGCGTCGCCTGCTGCACAGGTGAACGCGCGGCAGTTGCACAGGTGGTCCATCCTGCGGCACCGCTCTAGCAGTTCCACAAGCATCAACACGTCCTGCTGCAGCAGCGACTCCATCTCCAGAAAGTGATGGAGGTCCTTCAGGAGACGTCGCACAAGCGCGTCAAACGCGCACACAAACGCGCGCCGCTCCTCTTCCTTCAATAAGGCATCAAAGCGTGCAAGCGTGAGGGAAAGCTCGACAATGTACGTTTTGCACAGAACATCGTTGCCCTGCTCAAGGCACTGCATCAACGGGAGAAACTCGTTTCTCATACTCGATGTGATTCCTGGAAGGGAATTCGCAGCGGAATACATCCCATACGAGAAGTGCGCATCTTTCGCCCGCGACGTTGTTTCCGCGCCATGGCCTCGCATTATCTTTTCGGGTGATGACAATTTATGACTTTCCCTACAGACACTATTTCACCTCAAAACGTTTACGCACGGCTGTCGCGAAGGCAACTGCCCAGCTGCAGTCCGCACGCGCTTGCCGTGGAAGAAGGGGCGCCGCGGCGGAAGAAGAGAAGCGAGGCGCGTGGGGAATTCTGCAGAAAACCTCCAAACGCAATGAAGGCGAGGAAAATGAACCCGCGTGGAGCAATGGCACACACCCACAGAGGTGGCTCACCTCGCCAGCAAGAACTTTGGGAAAAAGACGGGTTGCATTAGTCGCATTATCCATGAACACCCCTCGCCCGTTCTCGCTACCACCCGCGTCCGTCAGAGAGTTATATTAAACTCCTCAGCAGACACAAACGCACACGCAAGAACCGCGGGAGATGCACACTTCATTAAAAAAAAATGTTTTTTTTCTTTTTTAATCGATGAAACAACATTTTTTTTTGTTTCTTCCCTCCCCCTTCCTTTACGTGTTGGTTTGTTTCACTTTACTTCGCGCGCCTCGGAGAGGATTTTTATTCGACGCCAGCGGCGGGTCGCAGGGTGTCTTTCTGCATCCTCGTCATATCAATGATGTAGCGCAGGGAGTAGTAGTTCTCCTTCGCCAGCTCCGTCAGCGGCCGGTGCTGCTGCAGTCCACGCTGCAGAACCTTCAGCGCGGGGATAACGGGGCCGCGATCCTGCGCGAAGCCGCCGGCACACTCGTTTGAGTGCAGCATGAGCGACTGCGCCCAGAGCAGCGCCTGCTCGATCCCCCGGCTCTCCTCCACCTCGGTGCTCACCCACTGCACCAGCAGCGGGAAGAGCGCGGAGGGGACGGAGGAGACGGCGACCGGAATGGCCTCTCGTGGCATCCGCCGCAAACACTCCACGCCGAGCATCTTGTCTCCAAGGTTCAAGGCCCCCATCAGGGCCATGACAGGCTCGCCGCGGTCCAGTTGCTCGCGAACCTGCTGCGTCGTGATGTGGGCGCTGAGTTGCAAAGGTTGAAACTTGGGGCGGGCAACGCGCGTAGAAAACACCAACAGTCCGTCGGTGGTGGCCGCCACAAACTCCGTCCCTGTGCACGCAAACGCCAAGTCCATCGTGCGTGCTGTGAGGGCGGTTTGACGCTTTCCCGTCGCAAAGTGGCGGTGCCGGCTTCCAGGCATCTCCAGTATTTTCCCACGACGCAAATGAATGTCCGTGTCATCCACGTCAATATCGTCCACGTGTCCTGCCTCCGTTATTTGCCGCCACTGGTACTGCTCCTCCGCCCCCTGGACGTCTTGGTTCGTCGTGACAGGCCACTTCTTCAGCATGTAGCCCTGGGTAGCGTGGTACATCACAATCCACTTGGACTCCCCACCGGCAACAATCTTTTCGCCCTCCGGAGAAAAGGCAACAACGTTGAAGCGGGCATTGTAGTTGGCGCTACGGGGGCCCACCGTCTTGTTCCACCCACCAGCGGCGTCAAGGCTCGTCTGGAACGTTTTGATGATGATCGGCTCTGTCGGCACAACTGTCTCGTACACAGAGATCTCCTGCTTCATCGTCAGCACCGCCAGACGGCGACCACTGTTGCTGAACGCAACACTCACCACCTCGGAGCCGATGTCCACTACCTCCGCATCGCCCTTCAAGCGGTCCCCGCCGTCACCGCGGGCAAAGAGGTCCCAAAAGACAAGATTGTGATCAAGCGAACCGGAGACGAGGGCGGTGCCAGAGGGATGAAATGCCAGACACGCAATAGGCGCCTCGTGACCCTGCAGCTGATCGATTAATTTTCCTGTTTGCACGGCGAAAAGGAAAATGCGATCTGTCTGTCCGCTGCCCACTGCCAGGACTTCCCCAGATGGATCGACAGCAATGCAAGAGAGTTGCGTCTCCTCGGGTGCTGCATAGACACGAAAGTGACGGTAGCGTACAAGGTCGTAGCCTCTTGCTGTGCCGTCCCGGCTGCAGGTGAAAAAGGCATTGGTTGCTGCACAGGTTGCTATGCCTGTCACCGGTGCCGTGTGTTCGGTGAAAGTTACATAACACTGACCTGAGGACGCCTTCCACACCTTTACCTTGCCGTCGTCGCCACCTGAAATGATGCTGCTAGAATCTGCTGTAATGGCAGTTCGAGAGATATCGTAGTAGTGCGCCTGGTCCTTCAGGACGTACGCCTCGGACTTCCAGTCCCACAGGAGGAGTTGCTTTAAATGCGCACTTCCAAAGGCAACAAAGTCTCCACTTGGGCTGAAGGCCGCGGCAGTGAGTGACTGGGCGGAGATGGAGAGTAGATGGACAAGCGTGAGCTCCGCCTCATCGGCCGTTGCCAAGGAATGAATGGCAAAGATGCCAGAGTTGTAGCCAATCGCCACAAGTCCACGGCGTTGGTGAAAACAAGTGACAGACACATTGCCTTTATGGGTTAGTAGGTGCTTCTTGTCAATCTCGTACGCGCAGCGGAGGATGTCTGGGAGGTGTGTGTCCTCGGCAACGGAGACCCGCACGCCCTCAAGCTTCAGCTGCTCCAGCCGCCGCTTTTCTAGAAATGATTTTGGCACACCGCCGGCCTCATCGTCATCATATGCGTTTTCTTCGGCAGTTTCATCCGCATGCACCCCTACGCGCGCCTTCAGCTGCGCAGCGGCGACGGCTTGCAGCACCTCTCGACGTGTCACAGCTGTCCGCCTCCAAGTGATGATCACGTTATCGGCGGAGACGCTCACGACGCGGCAGCAGGCGTCATCGATGAACCAGGCACCATGAACGCCGGCGCGGTGACCCACCAATGCGTTCTGTTGTATCGCCATCCCCTTCTGCTGCACATTCCCTTGACGTGGATAAATCTTCATGCGGGCGTCTTGCCCGCTCAGCAGAAGATGTTCACTGTCGGGTGTCCATTCAATGTTCATAATGGGCAAGGTCAGCGCCGCGTGTAGGTTCTCCACCCTATGGCATGCGTGGTAGGCCACAACGCGCTGAGCCGGGGCAGTGTAGACTTGAAGAGTGTTTTCAAGGGCGAGAGCAACATACTTGCCGCAGGGACTAAACTTGACGCAGCGGACCTCGCAGTCGGGAGGAAACGCGATGGTGTCAAGCACCACACCGGCGGAAATGGCGTAAAAGAAGCCGACTCCGCGACGGCCAATCGCAATCAACAGATCGCCGTCCTGCGAGAGGTCAAAACACTGAATCGTGCTGTTACTGCACGAGAGCGAGCGATGCCCCTCCTGCTGGATCTGAATGCTCGAAATGTAGTTGTTCACGGGCGAGTACAACTGGCGACCGTCGGGAGAAAATGCGACGTTGCCCCCCGTGTACAACATGCCGTGCACCGACGCCAGTTGAAAATTCGTCTGCATTTACTCTCTTTGTTTTGTTTTGTTTTGTTTTGTGGTCTCTCTCTCTCGCGCACGCGCTTGGTGTCCTCTGCTTTTTCTCCTTTTTTGTGCCTTCGTGTGTCGCTACTCTCCCGCCTTCCACCCCTCCCTTCTCCGCAGGCGGTGGAGCAAAAAGAAGCACAGGGCAAAGCCAACCATAAAAGGAGGTTTAAAGCAAACATCAATCAGAAATTACGCTTCGGCTCATGCTCAACGCGTCGGCGGCTGAACACGCCCGCGTGCCCACATTTGCTACCTCATTACTTATTTATAAATGCAAAGTTACCCTCCATCCTCCTTTTCTTTTTGCTTTTGTTAAGCATGTCTCTTCATTAAAAAAACAAACAAACAAACTTTTCACTTCGCGCCTTTTAAGCATTAATCCTCGCTACGCCCCCCGCCCCACCCCCCGTGGCTTGCTACCCGTCGCCGCAGCCGCTAGTAAACCGTGTCGGCCGCCACCTCGTCGTCGAGGTCGGCGTCAAAGTGGCCGACGACGCCCCACTGCGCGCTCTGCTCGCGCGGGAGATTCGCCGCCGCCGCCGCCGCCTCAGGGAACCTCTCCGCCAGCACGTCGTAGTAATACTGCGCCGTGCTCATCATCAGCTCGTCGTTCGCGTCCACGCGGCGCAGCATGGGGAGGTAAACCTCCGGCTTGAGGTCGGCGGCTTGCAGGAGTCCGGTGCTGGCCAGCGCAGCGGCAGCGCGCAACAGCCACGTGATGCTTAACTTGTCGCTGGCACCAATGCTCGCCGCCGTTCGCACGGCGTCCGCCGCCGCACGCACGAATGCGGGGTCCACACGCTCCACGCCGCAGGTCACAAGCGAGTAGGCAAACGCAAACCCGCCAAGGGCCCCACTTCCCTTGGAGCCCATCATAGCTAGCGCCCTCTTTTGGAGCTCGGCAAGCTGTGCGTCTGTAATACTTGCCGACTTGCACAGCGCCGCGACGGCCACACCGGCGACGGCTGCGGTTGCCGGTGTCTCCGCCCGTTCCCAGATGGGCAAGACAAGGTCCAGCAATTTGGCAATGTGACTCAGGGCCTTGGTAAAGTGACCATACCGTATGACAACGGAGATGAAGCGGCACATAACACCGCAAAGCAAAGGTGTGTCGACCGCCGTCTTCTTAGTCACCACTGTACCAAGGATAAGATCAGCGTACCTTTCAGACCTCTGCAACAACTGAATGACGACACGAAGCGCCAGCACACGGGCCTCACCCTTGTCACAGAGAGAGGCATTAAACATTGCAAGCGCCATTGTGCCCTCCACCATCTTCTCCTTACCGCTGGCGGGGTAATTCATCAACTGCAGGCAGAGTCTCACAAGCGCGAGAACCACAGCCCCCTCATTTCTCGTAAAAAGCACCTTGGAACAGCGACCAGCGACGGTGTTGGCGGCACCCGCGCTCACACGCCGCGGTGCAAACGTCAAAAGGTCTTGGATACACTCCACCGCCTGCACCTTTTGTAGCGAGGTGCCGTAATCAAGACCCCTGTTGTAGAATGTCATGAAAACGTCAAACAGTCGCGTAGGTTCACCCTCAGCAAGGACACTGAATTCCGGATCTGCCTCTGTCACCACTGCACGAGCCGTAGCCCCCAAGGTGTTTTGAAACACATCCAAGTACTGCAGCAGATATCGACCAGCGGCACGCTTGCTAGTGGTAAGATCCTGTTGCTCGTCTTCCTCCAAAGATTCCACCACGCGTTGCTCAAGCGACGCAATGAGGCGCGGGATCATAGAAATCGCAATGCCTCGCAGTTCATCCTCCTCGCTTGCAAGTGCCTCAATGGCGGCGCGGAACACCGCGGAGAGGCCCTCAATATAGTCAAATGATATACCCAATCCATACGCTTCTGCCGCGAGAAGTGCGCCGCGTTGCGTCGCCGGGGAACGAAGTCCCTTTTCCCAATGCTCCATCGGCAAGTGCTCAAATTCGCGGGGCATACCTTCAATGAACTTTTGGTAGCTCTCGCTCGCTCCCTCAAGTCCCTGTACAAGAAACGCAAGAAGTGTTCGACTAATGACGTCGTTGAACCGGCGCATCTGCTCATAGGCCTCATCCACGTCAAGTATGGCGTCGAGCAGCTCTAGATTATCTTGCGTGTACACCGATCGCTGGGCGAGGTACTTGAAGATGATTTCTAGCGCGGCGCCTGGCTTGACCTTTACCACCTCCACCACCCCCCGCACGGAGGTCTCAATTTGGGCCTCAATGGCGTCCTCAATAAGTCGTGGACCGACTGACTTGGACACCTTCGCGAAGACGTCACGCGCGCACTCCTGCACCTGCGGGTCCTTGTCCTGCATGCCGGGAAGCACACACCCCACAATTTGGCCGCCCACCCCAATGAGACGACGCGAGTCGATGTACACCACGACGTTGGCAAGGCAGATAAGTGATCCAAGTTTGCTTCGACGATTGTTCTCCTTGTAACGGTCACAGAGAGCCTCAATTAACTGCTCGATCATCTCATTCAGGCGGGAAGTGAACTCAATCGTTTTGACGGCCATCTCCACACAATCCAAATTTTCAGACGAGGCAAACAAGATCAGAACACTGACTAGACCATTGAATATCTTTTTCACAGCACCACGAAGACTCGCCACACACGTCTGCCATGCATTATTGGTATCCGTGCGAACGTTGAGGTTGCGTTCATGGCGGCCGCAGTACATCGCCGCAAGCAACCGAGTGAAGCTCTCCGTTCCCAGCATCTCCTCAAGAGAACCAAGAATAGAGATGCCACGCTTCTCCACATCGCGTGCGGCCTCCATCTGTAGCACACCACCGGCCTCGACTTCCTCCTCTCCCTCGCCTTCCTGCTCCAACATTTGCTCCAGTTCCTTTGTCTTGTCTTGGTCTCCCGCCAAATCCTCCTTGGCTGCATGAATACGCATCTTCTTACGAATTTGCTGCACCAGGTGAATGAGCAGCTTTGAAGCCAGCAGCATGGAGCTCTGACGCAGCGTCGTCACCTCACTCACCACACCAGACAGCAACGGCTCAAGCACCAAGGAGAGATTGCGTGTGCCGTACAAGTTAATGATGCCAGTGCCTGCCACCAATGCCACATCCCGCACACGATCGGAAAAGTGCGAGAGGCCTTCAAGTACCCATGGGAAGGAGAGTGGCAAAAATCGCTGAAAGTTGGCTGGACTCAAGGTGGAAGGCGCGTACACCATGATTTGTAGAAATCCTTCACGCACCACAGGCCGCTCATCCAACATGCCCGCCTCAATCGTGGGAAATGAGTCGTACAAAATGGAATCCCCACAACTTTCCACAACCTCCACAAACACCTGAGCGGCACCCGCCTTTTCAATCGTGCTAATGTGCGGCTTTTGCAGAACCGTAAAACACCAGGCCACAATATCATCAACCATCTTTCCACCAATGGCGGCGGAGAGAGCAGCAAGCGCCTTGGCGCTGGTCGTACGAGCCTCCGACTTGGGATCCATTGCGGCTTCCTCAAGTAGCCTCACAAGCTCCTCAGTGTACGGCTTGAGCGACTTCGGGTCGTTGACGAGGTTCACCATGGAGGCCACGATCTGGGCCGCCTTTGGACGGAGCTGCGGCATTTGGCTACTAAGGCCACGTGAGAGGATGGGAATGATGAGAGCCAAAGATGCGGGATCCACGGCATTCACAAAACGCGTATACAGCAACGCATCTAAGGCATTCTCTGTTTCCGTATTTGGAGAGCGCAATGCGGCGAGAATTAACTCCACATGCTCCCGAATCTCCGTGTTAGAGACCACCCCTGCAACACGCCGCAAGGCATTCATCGCAGCCGTCGAAACATTATGGTTGACGTCAAAGAGGCAGGCGTTAATGTGTTTTGTAATCTCAGGCAGTGTGGCGGCCAGCTGCTTGGGGGAACAGAAGGCGACATAACCAATAAAGTTTAGCGGAGGGACGCGCAGTTTTGCCTGTTCCGCCGACAGACTATCCACCAAGCGCGGAATAAGCTGTCGCAGACCCACCGCTGTCAAGGAGCTTACCATGACACGCGACGCGTCGTCGGCGCACTCCGAGACCTTTTGATCCTTGTCCGCCACACCCTCAAGCAGACCGCTGCACATGGCGAGTGCGTAGGGCTCAAACTTGGCTCCCATTTCCTCGGAAAGAACCTCCATGAGCAGCATCACTCCCGTCCGCTCCGTCTGGCTCTCCTTGACGGCCTTCTGCATAATCGCCATAATGTGGTAGCGTCTCAGGGAGGTAAGGCCCAAGCCTTGAAGAACACCGACGAGGCCGTAGGCGTGTGCCTTCTTCTTGATGTAGGAACTCGAGTGAATGACTTGTTTCAAACACTTCTCTACAAACTCGTCCAACTTCGGCGAGGCGCGTACCTCCGCGTTCTTTGTAATCTCCACCATCGAGGTGCACACCGCTCGATGCACCATCGCCGAACTGGACTTGTTCAATGTGCTACTCTGCTGCTCAACAATGGATTCCAGCAACTTCGTTTCCTTGAGACGACAGCTAATGATCGTAAGCCAGACCGTAGAGGTGGCAAAGTAGAGCTCCTTATGCGCGTTACTGAGATCCTTAGGTGGCTTACCGAGCCGCGTTTGAAGCGTGGGGGCCAGCGACCTGAGAATATCCATCGCACAGTCGTTCAGAACCACGCGGCCGCAGGAGAGGATGAGTCGCATGAGTGGTTCCGTGCTCGGTGACTCCGCCATGTCGCAGAGAAACAATAGGGCGTCCTGAAACGCTTCAGCGATCAAGGAAGAGGAGAGAACCTGAATGGCGACAACAGCGCCTTGTCCCGCGATGCGCTTCAGATCCTCAAGCCAAAGTTTTTGCTGGGACGCCCTAGTAGAGGGCAGCGAGAAGAGTGTTCGCATGGTCTCACCAATGCGCACGGCGTGTGACACGTGGTGTTGGCCGTAGGTATTTAAAAAGTAAAGAAGATCATTCCAGTCGCTGGGTTCGAGCGAGAAGGCGTACGCGGGGTCCTGCGCAACAAGCCGCATTGATTTCACCACTTCCGTCGAGGTATCATGCAGGGAAACCGCCGCCAGGACCAACGCGCGGCGACACGTCAGGAAGTGCGAAAAGCGATGGTATGCGGAGGCGACCACCTCCTTGACGGCGTCTGCGGGAGTAAACAGACCGAGCTCCAGCGCAGCGAGGTGCGAGGCGGGAATCATCGCCATCAGCAGATTGATGCCCTGCTGCACGCTCTTGAAGAGTGAGGGAAAGTTCTGTAGAATACCGGTAAGCAGCTGCAGCGTCTCCGTGGGCTGTGGCAGTTGCGACTGTCCGAGGTTTTGCAATAGCACGCCTATCATCTGGTGCTGCGTAGCAAGAGGAATTGTAGTCTGCACGGCGTTGCTGCCACGGCCAGCCTTAAATGCAACCCGTGAGAATGGGAGTAGCACCACAAACAGCGGAGCAGGAATCATGCTAGTGGTGGCTTGGCGCAGGTGCAGCGCCATCGTTGACAGCCGCGACACATCCTCAGACGTGAGAGTGGTTTTGCTGTGCAACTGCGCCACGGTACACGCCATGTTCTCCGCCATGTGCGCAAAAACCGTTTTTGAAAACAAACCGGAAATTGCATCCAACACAAGACGCCCAAGGACCTCGGGGACGTCGCTGCGATTTAGCGTCGCCTGAAGGTACGGGTAAAGTACCGCTACCCCTTCGATAGGGAAATGTCCCGTGGTTCCAAGCGTACGAATCGTTGCCAGGGGTACCTTATTCTGCCGTATGATGCCCTCAATCACATGTGTCCGTTTCTCGACTTCCGCGCGCAACACCTTGCGACCCTTTTCAAGGGCAACGGCATCGCGCCGCTTCAGGTCATCGTAGTCGTCTTCTGACATTCCCTTGGGTGGTCTGTCCGGGTACGTCTTGAGGAGCTGCTGCTCGCGCAGCGCCTGCGTTTCGTATGCGTGCAGCGCCGTGACAGTGGAAGCCGCAATGGCGCGGTCACGTGCATCAAGGGAAAGGAAATAATCCACAGATTTCTTGGTGACCTCCAACAGTGTTTCAAAGGCTCGCTGCGACGAGACCGGGCCGGTGATAAATCCCAAAAGAAGCACCAAGCCACGACTGGCCGCGGTACTCAAATGCGTCGGACCACTAAATTCGGCACAGAGTTTACTAACAAGTGCCTCACCGTGCAGCGTTAGCAGGTGTGCGTGTTCCCCGGCAAAGAGCCGCGCAAACGTCTCCGATCGCGCCACCTCCGAACTGGTCCGATAACGTCCAAGAAGAAACGAGTTGGTGTGGAAATAATACGGATCTTCCCCTTGAACATGGTCGTGCCCACAACATAAAAGAACTTCGCAGAGCGTGGTCGTGACCGGCGTCTTTGCTGTGTGCTGCAGGAGTGCGGAGGCTACAGTGAGGAGTGCCCCAGCGGCGCTGGAGGACAAAATTTTCGGCTTTTCCTTCCTTTCCAACCCAAATACGGTGCGTGTCAGGCTGTCCCACAGCGCGATTAAGGCGCTCGCGTCGGCTGAAAGCGTGGCAACGTACGAGGAAAGACGGCGTCGCAGTAGTCCGCTCCTGTGGGTTAAGAGAAGCGCCATGGGGGCGAATAAGCTGAGTTTGGCCAGTGTCACTGCGGTTTCCACAAGTCCATTCAATTCATCCAAGTTCTTTCCCAATGGGGCCACCACATCCG